ACAGCAGCCCTTCTTTCAAGGAAATCTTTTTGGCATCCAGATGGTCTAATGTGTTCTGGGCTGATGTGAAGTCTTTTAACTACAATTCTGTTATTAACCTTCTTATTTACCATGACTCCAATAGCGTGTGGGTTAACATTCCAAACACGTCCAGTCTTTCCGTGGAAAGCTTTGTATGGAAGGCCGTGTTGAATAGATGAATTACAGAGGATGGTTACATAATCACCAACTTTATATGTGTGAAGAATGGTTGAGGTGTTTGAGATTCCATGTCCTCTGAATGGTCTCTTAAACAACTTTCTGGTTCTTCTGTTTCTTCCGTTAGACAAAGGCATGGTCTGTTATTTTAGGGTTCAAAATCTTAGTTGAGTTCCTTCTAATATTTTTCTAATTCTCTTTTAATACCTTTATTATTTTTCTTTTTTATAATTTATAGTTATATAAAACGAAATTTAATTTTTATATTAACAATGAAATACTAAAATAATTCAAATTTCATAAAATTAATATTTTAGATTTAATACTAAAGTCTATTTTATAGTTGATAGATGTGTTAGTGAAAATACATGCCAGGTTATCTACCTTTGTGTTTTTGTTTATTTGTACATCTTTTTATTTTTGTTAATTTAAATTAAGAGTAAAAGATATGTTAAATACATAGAATAATAAATTTATTGTAGAATATTTTGTAGAATATTTCAAGTCATAGTATAGGAAGTTTTATTTGTTATTTTATATTAAACCCTTTTATTTATTTAAAGAAAAAGACATGATATATTTTAAAATTAGAGTACTTGTGTTGATTAGATGTTTTTATTCTATTCTAGAAAAAAGATATTAAACTTTGTCTTCTAATATTCAAAATGAATTAGATTAATTTGACAGATTATTTTCTTGTATATTCAAATTCAATAGTTCATTAAAAATTAGTGTTAAAATGTTGAATAATTTAAAAATCCTTTGAAATTTTTTTATATTTTTGATACATATGTTGAAATGAACTAATTAATGTCTATAATATACTTTTATTCATTTTTTACTTGGAGGAATTATTATTTTACTTTTTTGAGTCAATCTTATGTCTTTGAAAAAAGTGTTAGAATAATCTTAATTTTTATAAAAGAACTATTTTAATTATCACTTTTTAAAAGGAATGAAGTCTTCTAATCTTGTTTTTGTTTGTTGATATTTAGAAATTTATATACAGTTAGTATAGTATCTATAAGGAAGTATTCTTTCAAAAATCTTTTAATTAATGATACAAGGACATAGCCCTGACAATTACAAACTTTTAGTGTTATTAATTCTAAGATGAGCAACAAGGAGAGGAAAGATAACGTTTATTTTTAATAAGATATATTGAAAAAGAAATGAAATATGAAACATTCAAAAAAAGAGAAAATGAATAAAGAATTATTGAAATAAAATCACATTATAGTTTAATGATAGTATAATATAGTATAGAATATAAATGAACTATTAAACTAGAGAATGAGTGAAACAGAAAACAAACCACAAGTCACTCAAGACAGTGAAACAAGATCGAATAAGAATAAAGAATATGAAAAAAGTAAGGAAAAAAAGAAAATGGAAGAAGAAGAAGATAGCGAAAGTGAAAGTGAGAGTGAAAGTGAGAGCGAGAGTGAAAGTGATGATCAAAAAGAAGTTGAAAAAGATAGTGATACTACAGAAAAAGATTCAAATAATGGAGAAGAAAAAGAAGAAAAGAAGGAAGTATTAAAAGATGTTGAGAGAAAAGAAACAATTTTTGAAATGATTGAAGAATTTCCACAACAAGAAACACTAGAAGAAGTACTTGTAAAATTGAGTAATATTAATTTAAATGAAGAATGGATGAAAAAGGCAGAAAATCAAGTACTTAAACAAAAGGCATTGTGTTTGTTTTATGAAAGATATCCAGAAGCAGTGTCTGAAGTTATGTTTCCATTTGAACAAATTATTAACAAAGCAGAAAATAAACCAGATGAAGTTCAAATGGAGATATTAAAGAAAATAATAAATTCAACATTCGTTGTCAGAAAAAATGAAACAATAATGCTTATGGGAAATGTTAATACATTACCAAAGAAAGAAGACTCAAAAACAATTGGGAAAGGAGATAGTGAAATTAGTAAAGAGAGTAAAGATAATAAGGATAGTAAAGAATATAAAGATGATAGAACACGTAAAAGAAAAGGAAATGATGAAGGATATTCAAGAAGAGATGAAAGAAATTATCGTGGAGATTATAGAAGAAATAATAGTAAATCATCAAGGAGTAATTCAAGAAAAAGAGATCGAGGAGGAAGACATTGATAAGATATTCTTTTGTTAATGAAATTATTATTGATTTATAATTTTTAGAAAGAAAAA